TCAACGGGTGGGCTGAACCATCAACCTTTCAATAAGTAAGTGAGCACTTAGCTGCTGTACAACTAGGGCTACTTCAAGAAATAAGGTGAATATATGACTATATCTTACTACTTCACACCAACTAGGATGGCTATAATCAAAAATAACAGCAAGTGCTAACAAACGTGGAGAAACTGGAACCCTCGCACATAATATTGTTGAGAATGTTAAGATCGTGCAGCTGGAGCCCTGGTGGCACTGTTGGGTAACCACAAGGTCACTAGTTCAAATTCACCAGCCAATCCACAAGAGAAAACCTACACAGGGTGGATAAGAGTCAGAATCCACTCAATTGCAGTGGGTTTCTGGTTTTGTATGAATTATTCTAATGAGCCTGGTGCACAGTGGTTAAGCACTCTGTTGCCAACCAAAGGTCAGCAAATGGAACCCACCTTTGTGGAAGACAGATGTGGAAATCTGCTTCCTTTAAGGTTAAAAAACAAAGAAACAAGCTGCATTAAGTAGATTCCAACTCAGAGTGATCCTATAGGATCCTAAAGGACAGGACTGCCCCCAATGGGTTTCTGAAGCTGTAAATCATTATGGGAGCAGAATGCCTCATCTTTCTCCTGCAGAGCAGCTGATGAGATTTGAGCTGCTAGTTTTACAGTTACCAGCCCAATGTCTAGCCTACTACACCACCAGAACTCCTCACTCCTTGGAAACCCCAGGGAGTTCACCCGTCCTACAGGGTTCCTACGAGTCAGACTGGAAGCTGCAGCAATGCGTTTATTAAATATAAACATAATATTTATCAATATAAATATTCGATCGTGTTTCTACATAAAATTGACAACTTAGAGAAAATATAGAAGACAGCGGAACGTATTAAACAGCTATCATAAGGAAGCAATTAGCAAAATTCAAACTGGAAATTTCAGGACAAACCCAAACATCAACAAATATGAGACAAAGAGGTGACTGAGTGAGGAAAAAATCTTAATATGGCAAAATGTTAAATTTTGTAAATTAAGAGGGTGAGTACATGTTTTGGCTTATTGTATTACAAGTACCTTGTGCCTTGTATATATTCTAAAAGAAATAAGTAAATTTAGCGAACCAAATATGTATAGTGATTCTAGAGGCAGGTTTTACCAAGAATGGTTGGAATGGAATTTAAATTAGCATAGATTACAGTTAAGTGAGAAGAACTAAATACAATTGACATCATCTAGTTCAATATGCCTTCCAAATTCTATGGAAAGCTCATCTCTTGAAATAGATGACCCTGCTAGACAAAGAAAAACTCTCCCTTGCTATAATTAAGAAAATGTTGATCCCTGAATTAAAAATCAAAACCATGAACTCCAATCTTTTTCTGTGTGCATGCAATCACTTCCATGGGTGCTTCCTGAATTAAAATGATACATAAGAAAATATGCTTCCTCAGTGGCTACCTGCTAAAAGAGAAAATATCGCCATAATTTTACCTTTTATTTTCTCTTCTATTTCCTCCCATAAATGGCACAGACTGTGTGCTCCGCTTTACTGCACTTTGTGGATTACTGCATTTTACACAAATGATGGGTTTTGCACAGTCCTGTGTTGAGCAACCCTATCAGGGCCATTTTTCCAATAGCATGTGCTCACCTTGTGTCTCTGTGTCACATCCTGGTCATCCTCACAGCATTTCAGACTTTGCCATTGTGCAATTGCACACTTGATAAACTACAGAATTGTGTAAACCTAACTTTTCTATGCACTGGAAAGTCAAAAAACTCACGTGACTAGAATTACAGAGAAAGCCGCTTCATTTTAACGGTTTGGAACCAAACCTGTCGTATCTCCAAGGTATGCCTGCACTCCTAAATAATCTTGTCAACTCTTTTTTCTTGTCTTTTATGAAGCAAAGTTGTTGGGAGGAAAATCGATACAACTTTTTGGGCAATCATTAGATAATACTTATCAAAGTTCAAAAACCATGTACTAGCACTCAACAATTCACCCTATAGCTTGCAGGTTTTATCTTATGATATACTTGTGTAAACGCTCAAGGATAGGTGTATAAAGATGCTTACTCCAGTGAAAAACTGAACATCTAAATATATTTTAGAGTTGGTTTCATGAATCATACTATAAAGCAAACAGTTCAGATGCTATTCAACTTAAGAAAGACATATACATACTGATTTAAAACATGACTAAGATATACTTCATGAAAAAGGCAAGGCTATCCTAGGCCATTTACGAGTATGCTGAGGGGTGAGGAGAAGGTTCTCTAAGCTTGTATACCCGTAGAAAATGTCCAGAAAGATACATAAGCAACTTAAAAGTTGCTAGTTCCAGGAAAATGAGCCAGAGAAATTTTCACTTTTTCCTTAATACCCTTATGCTATTTTAACAATTAATAGGTAGCATAATTTTTAAATTCTTTAAACAATTTTCAAAAAGCAGTGTGTGCTCTCTTTTATTCACTGATAGTAGCCTAGTTTAAGAAAACTCTCAATAACCTTGTTGCCATGGATTTGATTCCAAACCACAGTAAGCCTACAGAGCAGAGTAGAACTGCCCCCTGGACTCTCCACGGAACGAATCCTGTGGTGCCGTGGCAAAAGCTGTGGGCTCCCAACCCAAAGGGCAATGGTTGAACCTACCAGATGCTCCTCAAGAAAAAGATGTGGTAGTCTGCTTCCATAACGGTTTATAGGGTTGGGAACCTTTTGGTGCAGTTCTACTCTGTCCTGCAGAATCACAATTAATTGAGATCAACTGGATAGCAGTAGTGTGATTTGGTTTGTTTTTGGTTTGATTTTGCAGATTAAATCCACAGAGTGGTTAGTGGATTTGAACTGTGGACCTTTCGATAAGCAGGCAAGCACTTAACTACTGAGCCAATGGGGTTATTTAGAAAATAGGGAACATGGTACAGTGTTCACATTAAGAAAATTAAAATAAGGTTATCATTAAAGTTAAATTTAATCATCATCATTGTGCAAATCTTTACCAAGCCAAATAAATTCTATCTTAATTTTATGTCTGCTTATTACTCATACTACTCACAAATAATAGTGATAATGTGGCTAATGAATATTGTGACTTACTATGTGACTTAGCTTTACATATATTATTGGCAGGGTATATCAGTAAAAACAAGGGAAAAACTCAATGAGATGGGTTTACACAATAGTCAGGATAATGAACTCCAACAAAACAGATCATGAAGATGACATAGGGCTAGGCAACCTTCTGTTGTTATGTATAAAGTTATTATGAGTCAGAGGTAACTTGAGAGCAACTAACAGTAACAACAAGTTAATTTTTAAACCCTGTGATGAAGCACTCCCTCTATTTTACAGATAAAACAAACAAGGACCAACGTTACTCAGGGTCGCCCAAAGTTACACAAAAATAAAGAATAGGAATTCAAGCAACTGATTCCAGAGCTTATACTCTTAGGCAATTCCTTCTTGAGCAATACTAAGATGTAATACTGAATGACAATGTAATACCTCAAGTCAAAAAATGACTGCAAACTGGTCTGCAGCTAACATGTTAATAAAACAAAATACATACAATACTAGAACGAAAAGGACAAGCCTTATTCTTATGAAATAAGAATATTTCATCCTATCCTAAGGATAGGATAAAAGCAATTTCCAATAGAAGATAAATATAACGGTCTAATAAAAATGCCATTTATTTGACTGAAATCCCACAATTTTCCCTAATAAGCTGATTTCTGTGAAGCAGAAATCACTTCCAGTCAATTATATCTAGCATCCTTCCAAAACAGCACATTTGAGCATCCCCGTCTCCTTTAGGACCAAGGGTTAAGAAATGTAGTACAGGAAAATAGAGGTAAACTAGACAAAATCGTTCTGAAAACCCTCTGTCTACAGGGCTTGCCTCACGATTCCTTCTTCCATGCATTCTATATTACTGTTGCTTTATTCTAGTCTTAAGCCACTTAGTCACAAGCTTTACTGTACTTCCTTTGCTAGGGAAGGTGAAAGAAAATAAAGATTAATTAGAAATATGGCCCAATGAATTAAGGTCATAAATTCTATCATAATAGTTACTAACACCAATCAAACAAATTGTAATTACCTAAACACCTTGTCTTCAACATGGTAGAGTATCCATCTTTTTTTTTTTTTTAATCTCTAAGAAACCTCAGAAAAACTCCAGGAATAGAACATATGCTCACCCCTGTATGGGGCCTTTCATTCCAAAGTACTTTATAGATAGGGTCTTTACTACCACAAAAATGTGGTAAGGAACCTTTTGACCAATTCCTGCATTTATTCTTCCAAGTACTCAAGGCCAATCTCCCTCTTTTCCCACCTCAAACCAGCAAAAAGAAATTCCTCGCCTCAAAAGTGGGCATTCTCAGAGTCAGACTTCCAGATTCCAATTCTAACAAGGGCTCATGAAATAAATGAGGCTGACACCGGTGCCTGCTTGCATAGGACTCTTCTGGGCATGACCAGAGATAACCCGGGATAGGACGCTTCGAGCAGTGGTGGCACAGAGTGTACGCGCAACATCTCCAAAATCAACTCCGTACAATTCGGATCGTGCCCCCTTCAGCGACGAGCCCATTGTGGAACTCCTTCAGGACAACTGAGCGCAGAGATGAACCCCTACAATCTAGAACAGCTGTATACACGCCTCGTCATTTTAACTCCTCACAGCCTTCCGCACTTTTCAAAACAGGCCATGCAAAATTAAAGACACACTCCAATACCCTACGCCACACTTTTAACCGGCGCTACGTCAGGAGCCCGTTTGGCAAACCTGAACCTGGCACGAACAGCGGAGGTTTGCATGGGCCACGGAGGAAGAACCTGCAGCCCAAAGCAGGCCAGGGTCGCTCCGCGTCAGCAGCCACAGTTCGTTTCCAGAAATGCACGCTCCCGGTCGGCGTGGTCCTCGCTCTGGTCCGAATGAACCGCCCTCGGCATCCTGAACCGAGGCCAAGCGCCTCTGAACCCACCCCCCGCCTCGCCGGGGCTACTCACAGAGTGTGTCCGCACACATTCACCATCAGCTTCAAGGACGGGTTCCGGTACTTGGTGGTCTTACATCGCGGGCACCCCTGATCGTCCATGGTGTCTCCTCCCCTACAAGCTCTCCCAGAAGGCGGCCCCCCTCGCAGCCCCCGCAGCCCGGACCCCCGGCTGGTCGCACGGCAGGCGCCCGCGGCGGCGGTCCGCGGAGAATGCGCGCCGGCCGCGGCCGGACTGCGGCGCCAAGGTTCCGCCGGCGGGGCCCGCTCCGCGCTGCGCGCCGGTCTTAGTCTTCCCCGCTTAGAAAACCACGAAAACTTTCCCAAGGAACAGGTGACCTGCAAGCCTCTTGGTCTGTGAGTTGGAACCACGTCATAGCGTTTTATGTAAGGCTTGAGTCGCAGAGATTAAACTCTAAAACAGATATTTTTATGTTCTATAAAAATATGCAACTGAAAAAAATATATATATATATATATACATCTGGAGAGCAAATGAACAAAACACTACTGAAATGAGCTCTGTAAATTAACATCATGTACTACATCATTGTGGTAATGCTAGAGCACTCGCGGACATCTCTTGTCTTTCTCTTTTTTTTTTTTAAGAACTACATGTGATTTCACGTTTCCAGCTCTCTGGTAAATGGTCTGTGGGTATTATTTTTATTTAGTTAGTGTGGGGGTTAGAAAGCATATCTTTGTGAAAATTGACTTTACAAAGCATTACCACTATCAGAAAAGGGAAATAAAACGTTTTTACAAGGCAAATTGGACAGTCTCAACTCTTGCAACCAGTCACATTTTTTTTTAATGTGCTGTACCACAATTAGGAAGGTAAATTTCATTTCATCCTATCAAAGAACATTCCCATAAATTCAAATAGCTGTGGCTGGTGTTATAACCAGTAACTAGTCATTTCTTTTGGAAAATTTGATAGCCTGTGCTTTATACTTTTCTTTTGTATCTGTATACTCAACATAAACAAAGAAAATACTGTGCATTCTTACATATGAAAAGTTTGGAAATTTGTATCTACAATTATACCCTAAATGCTATCTATTTTCACTAAGTAGCAGAATATTTATACAAATAATAAAATAATATCTGGCAAGGGTTCTGCAAAGGTGCTTACCTCAAGACTGTCAAACAAGCCTAAGAACCTCTCTCATACACATACACACACACACACACACACACACACTAAAAAAATTTTCAAAAACACTGCCCTCAAGTTAATTCTAACTCTCACAGCAGCCCTACATCCAAAGAAACAAATTCATAATGACCCTATGCGGACGTGGTATAATTGCTGCTGAGACTAAAGAACTATCTATCTACAGGAGTGGAAAGCCTATTATTTCACCTGAAGAAGGAGCCCTGGTGGCCTAGTGGTTATGGGTGGGGCTGTTAACCACAAGGTCCACAGTTAAAAACCATTCCACAGGACAAAGAAAAGGTTGTCTACTTTCATAAAGTAGACATAAAACCCACAGAGAGAGTTAGAACTTTCATAAAACCCACGGAGACAGAACTGCTCCTGTGAGGTCACTATGGGTTGAGGAGTCAGGATCGGCTCGATGGCAGTGAGTGTTGGGATTTTTTGTTTGGTTTGTTTTGGTTTGTTTTGGTCTGGTCTGGTCTGGTCTGGTTTGGTTTGGTTTAGTGGAGGAGGACTTCTGCAGCGTAGCTGGTGGTTTCAAATGGTTGACCCTGATGTTAGCAGCCCTAGGCTACCCTCTAGGCTGCTGGGGTTCCTAGAGACTCTATGGGGAAGAGTAAAACTGCTACAAGGGGTTTCGAAACCAAAGTGATAAATCTTTGCAAAAGCCGACTAATGCATAGTTCTCCTGTAAAGGGGTGGGTGAGTGCAACTGCTGACTCACCAGTTAATAGCTGAGTGGTTTATCCAACTAGTAGCGAGCGAGCGAATGTTGCTTTCCCATTCCCATCAAAGATGTTCATTTTCCCAAACACTGAAAAGGAATTACAAAAGTAGATGCAACTTTATTTCAGTAATTCCAAGATCTGAGAACAGAATCTGTGCAAATTGAAAGCCAAATTCAGACCCTTTATCAAGATTATAAAATGAACTGTGTAAATGGCTCTATCAGATAATAAACCTGTCTGTCCTATTGTAAGTGACCACATCTTATTGACTCTGTAAGACATGTAAACAAGGACTTGTTGATACTTATTGACTAGAGAAAATGATGAATGAGTGAATGATCATCAGTGATAATATAATGTGAAAATGTTTATGCCATTATTTCTCTTGTAATTACCTTCATCTAACTTAAATTCCATCTAGACAAGTGCACATGAAGAAAAGATTTTCAAGTTAATACATACAATTACTCATAGTAATTTTAACTTTTTATATTGTACTCTTTTCAGTAAAAAAAATGTTTTTTTTACTGGGGTGAACAAAATACCAAGGGGAGCAAAACAAAGAAGTCCCCGAGGAATGCTGAAAATAGACTTCAGACTTGGAGGACAGGGCTTGGCACCTCATCAGACTCAATCAGAAAGCATTCATAAGGGTCAGCAAACAGACCTGGAACTATTTCCAGGCCCTTTTCTTCTTCTTCTTCTTCTTCATCTTTGTCTTCTTCTTCGTTGATGTCTATCTATATAAGATAGGCAAGATAAGCAATCCCAAGAAGAAAACAATGAGACCTACGGCTCTAAGGAGACAGGGAAGAGCAGGAGGTGGAGGAATGAGAGTGGGGAGCCAACAAACCCAAGGAGAAGGGAACAATAAGAGATCTAAAATCGATGGCAAGAAGGGTATAGAACGCGTGGCTGGGGTTTGGTCAAAAGCAATGTATCCAAGAGGAATTACTAAGAGCTGAACGTAGGTCAAACATGATAGTGGGACAGGAGGAAAGTAAAAGGGAATACAGGAAAAAACTAGGAGGCAAAAGACATTTATAGAGGTATAAATATAGGCATGTATATATGTACCATATATACTCGTGTATAAGCCGAGTTTTTCAGCACATTTTTTAATGCAGTTTTTGTGGTAAAGTTAGGTGCCTCGGCTGATATTTGGATTGGCTTATATTCGAGTATATAACAATAGGGATATAGGTCTATATACATATATTTATATATCAAGTATATTTAAGTATCAAGGTAGCAGATGGGCATTGGGCCTCTACTCAAGTCCTCCCTCAATGCAAGAACACTTTGTTCTAATAACTTGGCATTCTGTGATGCTCACCTTCCCAACACCATTGCTGAAGTCAAAATGCATGCATAAGCAACTGTGGTGAAGAAAACTGATGGTGCCTGGCTATTAAACCATATAGCATCTGGGGCCTTAAAGGCTTGATGTTAAACAAGAGGCCATCTAGTAGGGGAGCAACAAAGCCCACATGGAAGAAGCACACCAGCCTGTGTGATCACCAGATGTCAATGGAATCAGGTACCAGGCATCAGAAGACCCAAAACAAACAATTATATCTATGGGAAGAAGGGGGGTTGGAGTGGAGACCCAAAGCCCATCTGTAGACAATTGGACATCCCCTCACAGAAAGGTCACAATGAAAGAACAAGTCAGCCAGGGTGCAGTATAGCACCGACGAAACACACAACATTCCTCTAGTTCTTTAATGTTTCCTCCCCCCACTATCATGACCCCAGTGCTATCTTACAAATCTGGCTAGACCAGAGCATGTACACTGGTACAGATAAAGCCCTCTGTACAATATTAGGAGTAGCAATACCATGAGGGTAGAGGGAAGGTGGAAGTAGAAGGGGGAGAAAGTACAATGCCCACCCCCAAGGGGGACGAACAACTGGAATGTGGGTGAAGGGAGACAGGAGATGGTGTAAAATATAAAATGATAATTTATAATTTATCAAGGGTTCACAAGAGTGGAGGGATGAGAGAGGGAAAAAAGAGGAGCTGATACCAAGGGCTCAAGTACAAAGAAAATATGTTGGTCCTGCAAGACATTCCTGTTGACAAGCCACATGGAGCTACACTGATAGAGCTAGAGCCCTGGAGCTAGAGGAGCCACATGGAGACCCCTGCCTGTGCTGAGATGCTTCCATCACCACTGGATCCAAAAGGCTTTCCTATATTTGGCATCATTGCATGTGTCCTGTGAGTCTGAAGAAGAATTTATAGACTGGTATCAGACATATGGGCTAATATCAGACTTATGGACTATTTCTGGGATGGGATGTTTTCTCAATATACAATTGCTCTTTTATATAAAGCTCTTTCTTATACATGCACACACACAAAAAGAAAATATGTTGGAAATGATGATGGCAACGTATGTACAAATGGCGACACCAAATGTTGTCCTGAAGTACAGGCCTATTATTAAAGAGATCACACTCTCTAATGCAGCGGTTCTCAACCTGTGGGTCGAGACCCCTTTGGGGATGGCACGACCCTTTCACAGGGGTCGCCTAACACCATCGGAAAACACATATTTCCAATGATCTTAGGAACCCAGACACCACTCCTTTATCCATCTCCAGGGGGGTCTGCCCACATACAGATAAGCCCACAAACGAGTATCTGGTGGGATGACATCATGGCACTAACCCCATAACATATACCCCATATAAATACAGGTATATGTGACAGGGTTGGCGCCATAATGTACCTATGCGGACCAGTCACACATGTGTAGAGAGCAGCTACTGTGTAGAAAGCAGCAGTATTGACGATAAAACAACACTTCAAGAATTACAATTACATGTTGTTTTTGTGATTAATCACTGTGCTTTAATTATGTTCAATTTGTAATAATGAAAAACATGCTGCATATTAGATATTTACCTGAGGATTCATAACAGTAGTAAAACAACAGTTATGAAGTAGCAACGAAAATAATTTTATGGTTGGGGGTCATCACAACATGAGGAACTGTATTAAAGGCTCGCAGCATTAGGAAGGTTGAGAACCACTGCTCTAATCCAACCCATTTACATGACTCCAAGTGAAGTTTTGCAGGAATATAGGGTCTTTATACTTAAAAAGAACAGGGAAGTCCTGATGAAGGAAAACATATGGTCAATGAATAAATAAAAAGTTGAGCCACTACTGTATTGAGAAGTCATCCGCTCAGTTGACATTATTAGTGTTTAATACAA